AGAAAACACATGGCCGGCAAGCCACTCCCACCAGGTCAAATGGCCGGCAAGCCACTCCCACAAAGGAGGCCACACCCACAGAGTAGGTTCAAAAAATTTCTGAAACCCACCACTGGTGCCGGGCTTCTAGAAATTCCCTGGCATTTTTGGACATGGCCTGGTCTAGGATTGTCACATTTTCCCAATTGAAACTATGGTTAAATCTGTTTATATGTTGTGAAAATAAAGTGAGTCCATTCATTCCGACAGATTCTTTTTGCCAGAAAAAGCTGAAAACCAGAAAAAAAAAGTTGTAAACTATAAAGACCAACAATGTTTTCAGTGTCTTCTATAACTGTATGCCCAGATCATTTATCCTTTCATTTCCAAGAATAAATATTCCAACCTTCTATCTTTGACATCTTCACAATTTTTCCAAAGAAATCACTCAACGCGATATTTGGAACAGTCCACTAATTTAAATTTGGGGAACTCGGGGGGGTCCTACTTTCTCCAGGCCCTATTTCACCAATCCTGCAATATACAGCTCACTGTAATTTACTGCTGATAGTCTAATGCCTTGATGGCATTAAACATTTATTGATAATAGCTGCTGCTCCCTGTTTATGAGGTTGCCTTAGGGAAGAGGGCCACAGCAGACAAAAGGAGCAAACACTTCAGATATATAACACTGAACTCCCTCTTATCTCCTGCTAAGAAAGGATTTGAGATAGAAGAACTGGAAATTTTTGGCATGAAGTCTTGGTGAATTACTGGCAACCTGAATGAGTAATATCTCCTGAAAGAAACCAGTGGCTTGGAAGTTCCTCTGAACAGTCCAGTCCATGAGAAAACTAGCAATTATTGTGGCTTGTTCTGCATAAAAGCCATGGAAAAGAGAAGGAGGTGGTAGGATGGCTGGGAGAATGGATGTGGCTTTGTTATTGGTTCCTAGTGATTGCTGCATCAAAAGAAGGGCTTTCTCTGTACATCAAGATAATTGATCTGGGATTGGACATTTCAAGGAAGAATATTCTGGGCTGGTCGATGGGATCAAGGACCCTGTGGTTTTCAGCAAATGCAACAGTAAAAAAAGTTGTAAAGTGGAGTCAGATGTATAAAGACCTACAATCATTTTAGTCTCTCCAATAACTATATAAGTGGATCGTCCATCCTTTCATTTTCAAGAACAAATATTCCAATGTTCAATGTTTGGTAAGAAAGACTTGAGCAGGCTACATTAACCATATATGTCACTTTATTTTATTTCTCACTCAGTGCAGTTAAAAGCAAACCAATCTTTTGCATTGGTATAATAACATGCAACTGTTAAAAATAAATTCAAATTTCAATTGTGGCTCTCTACAAACCTGCTAAATGGCCCTTAATCCAAAAAAACAGATGTTCAACATTGCCTTATCCGCTCACTCAACAGCTGGATAAGGCTTTAGGTTATCATCCTAATCTATTTTACAAGGTTGTTGAAAATAAAAACACATAATGTATGGAAAGTGTACGGCACATTGAAGCCCATTTATTCAAACATTTTTACCACTGTACAGTCCAGTCCTGGAAATTTCAAGGAGAGGCTTTCTTTACACACAATCTGATTCTTTTGGATGGAAATATTGACAGTAATACACATTCCAAAGGCATTGTGTATGCACGCACTGGTGTGCACACACACAAACAGGCTCTTTGACAGAGAGGTAGACAAACATAAATAAGTAAAGAAACTGCCAAAGAAGGTTGAAAGCCCAGAGAGTTCAATTCTACCTATGGATCTAGGCTGCATTTTAATCTGGCCTTGAAGACAGAGTTCATCCTTGGGGTATTTTAAACTTCTGAAGTTCACATTTTATTCCCTAGCGACAAAGAAGACTTAGGAATTCTTCTCCTGTTCAATGGATTGGTAAGAGACAAAGGTCAATGGGGACCTGTCTCTTCTGCAACCTTTAGCCCCAGAAAGAAGTGATTTTAAGTGGTCTCTGTGGGATAAGCAACAGCCACGCAGTTTCTGAAGCATCTTCATCTTGAACTTGTAGCAGAGGAGAAGAAAAACACACTATTTGGGGTGCTTGCAATAGGAAAAGAAAGGAAGAGCTGTCCAGTTCTTGACAGTCACTTTAAATTCTTTGGGGGAACATTTCTGTGGGGTTATTTCTTTTCTAACAATAAAAAGGGGGCAAGAATTTTATAGTAACCAAAAATGGGATTTATTATATGACCATTAACCTATGGAGCTGTGAAGCGCTACTAAATTATTCTCGAAATACAGGTAGTCCTCGATTTACAGTAATTCTCTTAGTGACCATGCAAAGTTAAGAAAGCACTGGAAAAAAAGGTTCTAGGCTAAATGAAAGGTATCAGTATTGTTACACAGTACCTGATTCTTACCTGTGAAAAATGAAGTTGCAAGATTTGAGTTCCTAAAATAATATCCTCTCAATATAGTTCTGGAATGATCAGTTAACTACTGCTAATTCATAACCAGAATTGTTATGCTTTATATCCATGCAAAAAAGATTGATTGGAGCCGTAGTGGCATAATGGTTAAATTGCAGTTATTGCAGGCTAATTCTGCTGACTGTCGGCAGTTTGATTCACACCGGCTCAAGGTTGACTCATCCTCCCATCTTTCCAATGGTCAGTAAAATGAGGACCCAGATTATTGGGGTAATACTTGGACTTTGTAAACTGCTTAGAAAGGGCTATAAAGCACAGTGAAACAATACATATGGTGTTAGGTGCCACATTTAAAAAAAAGTCAATGAAAACACTAAGAAACACTGAACACAGGTGAATCCTTATTGCTTTTGGGGGTGCAGTGGTTAGAATGCAGTACTTCAGGCTAATTCTGCTGACTGCCAGCTGCCAGCAGTTGAGCAGTTCGATTCTCACTGGCTCAAGGTTGACTCAGCCTTCCATCGCTTCCGCGGTGGGTTTAAATGAGGACCCAGATTGCTGGGGGCAAAGATGCTGACTCTGTAAACCGCTTGGGGAGGCTGTAAAGCATTGTGAAACGGTATATAATTCTAAGTGCTATTGCTATTAAGTTTAGAATATACATTCCCTGCACATGGAACTGATTGGTGTGGAATAGAGAGGAGAAACATCGTCCACAGACCTAGAAAAGAATGGTTTTTAAATGCAAGTATAAAGATTCACATACCATTCTTGATTGCTTAGTTGGTGGAGAAATGCAGCTTGTACTCCTAAACGTATCTTCCAAATCACAAACATGTGCACTTATACAGTGATCAGTAACTCTGCTGTCTGTGGAGAAGAATGAAAGCTTTCTTTAAAAAACCACACACACAAATCTATACCCAGGAGCCCAAGAAGGAACAGACAAACATCTAAAAGGAATTTGGGGAAGATGATAACCAGATAAAATATATGGCAAGTGCACCTACATCAGTTCCAGAATTAAGTGCTTAAGCTAGAATTGAAGTGGCATGGAAAGAAGGCCAAAAAGAGAAACAGAATTCAAGGGATTTATTTATAAGTAGAACTTGTTTAACCTCTGAAATTTACTGTTTCGTAAATTTTGCAAGAGTCGTTGGCTGTAATGTTAGTAAGGCATTTTACAAGGCTAAACTGCATACAGAAATGTATGTCGAAAGATAAGATGTATACAAAAATAGTTATTAAATATTTAAATGCAAATTTCAGTTTTGAAAATTAAAAAAAAAATATCAGCAAGGGAACAGGGCATGACAAACACGTCTGAGATTAACGGAGACACAAAAGTTTAACCTGCTCTCCCCCAGTCCAATAATCCAAGTGTTGGGAGGTGAGATTCTCACAACTGGGGGGCAGTGGTGGGTTTCAAATTTTTTTAGAACCTCTTCTGTAGGTGTGGCCTACTTTTTGGGAGTGGCTTGCTGGCCATGTGACTGGGTGGGAGTGGCTTGGCAATCATGTGACAGGGTGGGCATGGCCAACTTGTAAAATGTGGTGAAACTCACTTAACAACGCT